GCTGCTCTGTGTGGCTAACAGGCTAAAAGGGACAGATGTAGAAGAAGTGACACCACCTAGCAGGCTGTCTAGCCTGCTGCAGTCATCAAGGGCAGAGATGCAAAAGCAGTGGAGGAGATCCACAGTGGTCAGATTTAGGGTGCTCTGTAGGGAGAATGGCTAGACTTGCTGCCAGTGAATCTGATGATCAGATGTAGAGTGGATGATGATAAGGTGTTTGCCTGGAGCAAGTGGTGGGATCTCTTACTCAAATGAACAAGACTAGGGGTAGATTTGGGAAGTAGCAGGGGACATTTACTGCTTTGGAAAGATCTTATAGGCAGTGTCATGTGTTTGGTTTGGTTTGTTTCACTTTATTTTGGCTACCAGGTATGCCTCTGTGTTTTTCTCCAGAGACACCTGCTGGGGGCCCAGACATAGGTGTGGCTTGGCTCATTATTGGAATACTGCTGACTGGCTTTAAGAGAACAAAGGTCAAGAGAGTTGAGGGTATTGGAAAGAGATCAAGTGAAATGATAGACCAAATGTAAAACCCAATTATATTTAGTCAGGGCTGATCACTGTGAGAAACCTAACCCAAACTAATGTAAGCAAAAGAAGCAGAACCAATGGCCTGTGGAACTGGAAAGGACAGTGAAGTTGTTTACAAAAGAGAAGATATAAAGTGACACATGGTCTTGAACTGGATAGATGACTATGTGGCACCATATGCCCCATGTATGAAATGGGGACAGTTGCATATCTAAGACTAAAAGGTAAAATGTAGAGGGGATAGCCAATCCAACAAATCAAAATTGCACAGTTTGCAGAAATAAAATATGCCTAACACCTTGAACATTCCTGCAAAATCAGTATCAAACAACGACAGCTAGAATCATGGAAAGTGAGGATGGCTTTTGTATCCATACATCTCCAGTTAAATAGTAGGAAGCAGGGCAGTGACCAACTCCTTCATATCTGTATTAAATACAAAACATGAGGTTAGGTGTCTGGTCACCTTAGCAGGGTGATGATTGTGGTGGTGATTGTTTGCTCTGCACAAATCAGGAGTAGCCCAACAGCCCAGCCAGTTATTATAAGAAAACTCAGCCTCCTGTAAGTCTACCATTAAGTTAGGCAGACCATTCATTAGACAAGCAATTTTCAAACACTGAGCCAGCAGCCCACCTCACTCTGCACATTGGGGTTGCCCTTAAGTTCATTCCAACAGGCCCAAGCAAATGCAGAGTGGTTGCTATAGTTTGGGTCTGGAATGTCCTACAAAGGCCTGTGTTAAAGGCTTGGTCACTAGCCTGTGGCACTATTGAGAGGTGGTGGAACCTTTAAGAGATGGGGCTTTGCTGGGCACTGGTGGCTCATACCTGTAATCCTAGCTACTCAGGAGGCAGAGATCAGGAGGATCATGGTTCAAGGCTAACCCAGGAAAATAGTTTGAGAGACCCTATCTCAAAAATACCCAACACACACACACACACACACACACACACACTCATGCACACACAAGGACTGTCAGAGTGGCTCAAGTGGTAGAGTGTCTATCTAGCAAGCAGGAGGCCCTGAGCTGTTCAAACCACAGTACTACCAAAAGAGAGAGAGACAGAGACAGAGAGAGAAAGAGAGAGAGAGAGAGAGAGATGGGGGCTTCATGGAAGGTATTCATTGGTGTCATGCCCTTGAAGGGAATATTATGATCCTGGCCTCTTCCATTCTCTCTCTTTGCTTTCTGGCCACCAGAAAGTGAACACATGTTCCTGCCTTATTTGTGGGAGGAAAAGACACTCAGGCAGCTCCCAGGAAGTATAAGATAATAGACTGCTCATCTGTCACATAGCATCAAAGGCAGAAACAGTACCTGCAAAGTACCCCAGGCCCTCTGAGGAAATGTTTATAAAGTCACAACTGAACACCTTGACTGTGGATTCCTTGATGTCAACAGCACAAAACACCATGCAAACAAGTCCACATAGAATCCAGCAGGAAAGAACTTTTCTCCCCAAGTGAACTTTTACCAGACAGTGGGGATCACATGGCAACTGGAATGAGTGTTGGCCTGAACATCCTGCATTTGCTAGAATCCTTTGGGTTTCGGTCAGTGCCACATCTGCTTCAGTCGCCACGTGGAATACATCCTGTGTTCCTGGTACAAGTTGCTTCTCATTCCTGAAGGGCTTTTGTTCTTCCTTGTTTATCTCTGATTTTGCTGGCCTCAAACTCAAAATCCTCTGCCTGAGCCTCCCAAGTGCTGAGATTATGGGCATGCATCACCATGGTACAATTATTTGATGTGCAGGCAGCACACTGGAGGGCAGGTTGCTTTGGCAAACTCTCCAGGACCACTCTTCCCACACCTGTCCTCCTCCCATGGCTCCCAAGGGTCCCCCTTGGATTCCTCCCAGGGTTATTCCTTGCCCCATGAGATAGTGTTCTCCCTAACCTGTTCTTCTGGGAACCTTGATTTCCTCTGCTGTGCAATGCTCCTCCAACTTCTCACTCAGCTGCAGAGACAGAGAGAATGAGGGGACTTGGAGAACGTCTTCAAATCCTATTTCAATGTTTTAAGGTGAGTCACACATACAGAAATGTGCATAAATCCAATGTATAACGAGATGCATTTTTACCAATGTATAACAGCATCAACGCTCACTAACTACCCTCTAGCTCCTCATTGCTAACACCATAGATTAGTTTTACAGGTTCCTGAACTTAATATAAAAGAAATCATCCAGTCCATAGCCTGTGCCTGGCTTCTTTCATTCCACAGTGATTTTTTAGATTAATCCACATCATTGAGAATAGCTGTTCATTTTCTCTTACTTTTAGGTAGTATTCCACTATATGAATGCACTAGCTTATCCATTTCTGCGTTGGTAGACATCTGGGCTGTTTCCAGTTTCCAACTGTTATGAGCTCTGCGGTGATAGACATTTGGGCACACAATTTTGGTGAGCATCTATCTGCACTCAGATTTCTCTTGGGTGGAAACCAGGAGTGGAAATGCTGGCAAGCACATGGCCTGCCACACAACCTCTCAGTGTGGCTGTGTCTGCTCCAGCAATGGCCTCAGACTGTTTTTGGTGGCACCAGCTTCCTCTTCTCTAGGACAATACAATAGCATGAACATATACTGTCAAGACAGGCAGATCTCAGTGCAAATCTCAACATCACCACCCGCCTGAGGACACTGGGCAGCTAATTAACTTCTCAGAAGTTTCACTTACCAATGGGGCTACATCGCCCTTCCCAGTCAGGGCTGGCATCTATGCCAAGTTAAGAGGCCATGTGTCCAGCATTTATGACTGCCACTCAGCCAGTAGGCAAGTGACACTAAGTAAAAGCTCTCTCTCCCTCTTACCCACACATAAAGCAGTCAACAAACAAACCTTTCTGGCCCTCTCATCCCTACAGAACCCTTCACATTTCTGATGCCTGGAACCCTGAGAAGTTGGTTACGACATTCCTCCCCATACTTGTGTCATAAGGCTACTTTTATCCATTCCACTGTAGTTGATAGGGAAACCCAGGAACACAGGCATCCATCACAGGTGAACCAGTGCTTTCCAAGGCAAAGTTAACAGAATGTAAGGGAATCTTCCCACAAAGTAACGCTAGGCCAGGGAGAAGAGAGTTTACATGCTTTGACCAAAGTAAGATATAAATTTACACTGTTTAAATGCTGTTGTGGAAACATGTCTGACATACTGTTAGTTTTATTTTTAAAAAAAGCAGAATGCAGAAGAGAATGAATACTTTGGCATTTTTGTATAAAAAAGAGAGAGACTGTATCTTTCTATTGGCCTATCTAGGAATAGATGCACAAGACACTAGCCACAAGGGGCTGTGGAAGGGCAAGCATGGCTCGGGGCTCATGAGGGAGGGGATGTTTCAATGGGTCCCTAAAAAGCTTTGAGGCTTGAGCCACATGGGTAGGTTCTTCTATTCAAAATGTTTATTATATATGCATATTTAAATGGCAAGTTATGCCAGCAAATAGGTACAAATCTCTCACATAAACTCTAAGACTTCTGGTGGGCCAGCCTAGTACAGCAGGGTGCTGTTCAGAAAGTACACACAGGTGTGGCAGGTGTGTAGGTACGGTTATGTCTACATGTTGGACATCTCCACCATAACCTAGGGTGGGTGGAGAGAGAAGGTACAGTCCTATCAAGGACAGGGCCCTTATGTCTGAGGAGGGGACCAACCTGAGTACCTATGAAGTTGGGAGAGAAGGGTCCACCTGGCTTTTCACAACTTCTCATCACCCCATCCGCTTAACTCTACAGAATTCAAATTCTAGCATGAGAAATCTGGTGGAGTGGCTCAAGTGGTAGTACGCCTGCCTAGAAAGCATGAAGCTCTGAGTTCAAACTCCAGGACTGTCAAAAGTTTTTTAAAAGTCTAAATTATCCTGAACTTTCTGTGTGTGTGTGTGTGTGTGTGTGTGTGTGTGTGTGTGTGTGTAGGGTATGTAGTGTGTTGATGTAGGTGTGTGGAAGTCTCGGCAGAGAAGTATATGTGAAGGAAATATGGGTTTTTACTCAGCAAAAAGAGAAGAAAAGTCTCTCCCCCAATAAGTGATAGGCCCTTGTAATATAGCAGGTGGGCAACATATCCCCCTGCCAACAAACCCACCTTCCCAGAGACTCAAAAGCAGCTTCTCTGAGGGTCAGACCCACCACCCTGTGGCCAGTGACAGATTAATAATGCACACTTCTGAGCCTGGCATGGAGCCACAACTGGGGCCCTTCCACAGAACTTACCTTCATTCCATGCAGCTTGTCATCCAATCAATCTCCAAGAAAATCGGCAAGGGCCAGTGGACCTATCCTGAAGGAGCACTGTGCTAGGAGAGGCCCATATTCCTGATGTGCCTCACTGAACAGTTTCAGACAGGAGTAAGGGGACACCCACTCCAGGCGCCTTCCCTTTTGAGGACACAGCAGGCCTACCACCCCTTACTCAGCAGGTGTGATTTAAACACACACACACAGACTAAGGAGAACTGCAAAGAGGCAGGAAGGATCACCTCTTTTATTATCCCAAAATGCAAAGTATTAAAGGCACTTGCAATGACAAGGGAGGAGGGGAGGCACAGAAGGTCAGCATCCCAGCAGAGGTAAATCACAGGGCCCCACCTGGTAACTGTCTGACCCAGAGAAAAGGACAAGCTACAGGGCCAGGTCTGAAGCCAGCTAGGGTGTCTAGCTCTACAAAAGATAAAAATCCATTCTACAGAAGATTAGGAAATTAGGAGTACACAGGGACAAGGAGCAGGGATGGCAGTCACGAGTTAGTGGTTCTGTAAGGAACACGCTCGACAGTAAGGACAGCCTCAGGGTCCCTACTGGAAGCGGTCTCGGTACATCTCGATGAGACGAGCAGCCTCACGCTGGCCAGACAGCAGAGCACCATGGGTGGTGGAGTAGTACTTGCGGTGAGTGGCCTCGCCGGAAAACAGCACCTGCATGGGCTGGGCAGAGGAAAGGGGAGGTGAGGACAAGGGAACATCAGAGGCCAAAGGGCTCCCTGTCTCCCCCAGACCTGCTCTGCATACCATAATTCAGACAGGAGTGGGCAGGCATCTGAAATGCAGCTATCGCTGCTTCCACAGGATGAGGAGCTACCCATCCTACATGGTCACCCTCCCCTACCTCTTCCCCAAACATCCAGGCCTCAATTCTTTCTGTCCTAAAGCTGTTAGAAGTCCTGGCTCTGCAGTCTCATAGATTCTGTGTGCCTCTTAATATTGAACTCAGGGCAAGTGGGTCAACATCCCTATGCCTTGATTTCCTCATCAGCTAAATGAGTTTATACCACCTACTTCCGAGGGCAGTGGTAAGGATTAAGTGAAACCATGTGTCTAAGCACTTAGAACCTGGAAGAACACAAGCACTCGATAAAGTTAGGTGGTAATTTAACAAACCTTTATGAAGCCCCTGTTAGAATCCAGGGACTGTTCTGGGCACTTGGATGATAAAAGGTGACCAGGCTGCTGCTTTGTGGAGCTTCCATGCTGGTGGGGAAGCCAGACACGAGACCCAGTTACTAAACAATGCCATATGTGACATGATGGGTGTCTGGGTAAGGTGCTGAAAGCCCAGGAAAGAGATATAGTGTCTGGGGGATCCCACCACTTCCCAGAAGTCAGAGCCTTCAGACTGGTTCTCAGAAGACGTTGGTGAACAGATAGGCAAAGGGCATTCTGACAGAGGGAAAAAGTGGGGCAAAAAGGCACCACCCTGGGGAACAATGAAAATTTTGGTATAGTCAGCACTCAGCCTCAAGAAAGCAGACTGTCTAGGTGAGGTGTAGGCAAAGTTCAAGTTCTTGCATCCCAAGTTTGCACATGAACTTTATCTTAGTGTCTTTTGAACTGCATGTGCCAAGTCCTGACAGAATGCAGAACTTCTAATCCAGCAGGTCTTAGGTGGACTGAGAATGTGCACTTCCAAAAAACTCTCAGGAGAGGCTGTATCCCATCAAGAAACCCACAGAGGTTGTTAAATGGAAAGGGGCGGGAGTTCGGGCAAAGCAAGCTGTCTACTCCCACATCCACCAACTCTCCTCTTTCTCCTCAGTAATAAAGCCCTGGTTTTCAACTAGGCCCAATGTCATCCAAAATAAAAATGATGTGGCCTAGCCTTTCCACCAGCAAGGTATAATCATGTGACTAAGTTCTGGCCAATGAGCGTTAAGTGCACTGTTGCTCAGAAACCAGGGTTCAGGCTCCAATGGATCTCATATTTTTTGCCTTTCTTCCTCCTTCCAGCCTAAGATGCAGATGTAAAAGACACAGCCTTTGCAGCCTTCTTGGATCACAAAGAGACCCTGAACATAGAAGTGAGATGGAAATGATACCAGGTCCTGATGTTCTCCTTCCACTGTCCTTTTGTGTGATGAAAGTAAACTCTATTGTTTAACCCACAGTTTTGTTTTCTTTTGCTTTTGTTGCATGCACTACTGAGACAGGACTAGTAACGAGAGGTTTGCTTTTTAGGGAGATAGCTGTGACAGCAGTAAGGGCATCTCTGAGAACCTTTCCTTTCTCTCTCTGAGCACAGTGCACCTTGATTGACTGAACTCTCCATCACCAATTACTCCAAAGAAGTATTTTAAATAAATTCCTGTTGGGGTTTTAAGATTTATGGTATGTGTACGTACTGGGAAAACATTTCCATTGTATCAGTACTGCCTGAGAAAACATTCTACTCTTCCCCAAATATTCTATAGCTACATAATCCAATATGGTAGCCACCATAGCCACACGTGGCTATTGAATTTGCAATGTGGTTAGTACAATCAAGGAACTCAACTATTTATTTGTTATTTAAATTCTAATTAATTAAGTTAAAAGTGGCTAATGCTAACATACTGGCCAGAACAGCATGGCATGGTTTGGTTTTCACAATCTCAAGAAAGCATTTAAAGTTTCTATTTGATTCCACTTTTCTCTTCCAGATGTTAAGTACATATTACCTTCTTGTTTTCCTTTTCATGATAGGACCTGCTCCACCACTGCCTCACCTTAGCACCTCGTACTAAACACTACCCTACTCCACCTCACTCTGACCAGACACACAAAATCCCCACTCTCTGCCCCCTTCGCCTCTCCTCACCAAACATAAGCCCACTCACCGCTGTCTTGGAGCTCTCCGTGTATGGTAGGGGCTTTGCCAGCTTCTCCACATCTGCTCCACTTGAGCCCACCTGCGTGTATGAATAGGAACCTCGGAAGTAGGGGTTGCTACCCCAAGCAGAACGCAGGATTCGCCGAGGTTTTGGAATATTGGGGTTTCCTGTTGGAGAATCACAAGAGCCAAAGGGATTGAGAATAAGAAAGAGGTGTATATGGAAGACATCCCAGAATGGACAACCCTACCCCACCTCCTAGGCTGCCAGGAACAGGCATTTAGGACTGAAGAGGTAGGAGAGAGGTTGGGACTCAAATTGTGTATCCACTCACATCTGGGTAACTCTCAGAAAAATACTTCATTTCTGGAGGCCTTAACCTATCTTAAAAATAATTACACTGTAGTTCTGGGTAAGACCACTTGCCTCGCACATGTGAGGCCTTGAGTTCAATCCTCAGCACTGAAAAGAAAATCAGATAGATTTTTCTCCTTCTGATATCAGGGGTTCCTATAAAGTTCTCCTGGGATAGTGGGTAAAAAACAGTTCATCTAAAAGCTGAGCCCTCAGAGAGGGCTGGAGGTGTGGCTCAAGTGGTAGAGCACCTGACTAGCAAGCGTGAAGCCCTGAGTCCTGAATTCAAACCCAGTACCACAAAAAACAAACAAACAAACAAAAACCACAAATCCACCTCGTAGCAAGGCAGTTTAAGAAATGGGTAACTGGTAATAATGCCTGGATTTTTTAACCATCAGCCTCCAGGAAGAGAGACACAGAGCCCGTCATTTACAGTGTTTTAGTCTCCAAATTGGGAGCGTGTCAGCAATTTAAGAGCCAAAAGCTAAAATGGTGTCCTGCAGTGGCTCTCCCAGGAGGTACAGATACTTGAGTGTCACAGTCTAGACAGAGTAGGGGATGAGAAAGGGACGAGGGGGAGGAGGCAGGAGCAGACAGGATAGGTGTAGGGCGCACCTGTGAATTGACGTAGCATCTCCGTGCAGATCTCAGCCACCGCTTCGTCATCACACTTCTCCATGACGAGCGCCTCCTCCCCACAGATCCAGCCACTAAGCACATGGCCATAGCGCTCCGGTGGATACAGGACATCAAAGCCACAGATCTTGCGGAACCAGAGCTCAGGTGGGTAGGTGAGGGTGCGGCTCTCTGCCTCATCCTCCCACACAAACTGCAGGCTGTTGCACTCGGGGCCCCAGAAGGGCTCCTCAAATTCAAGGAAGATCTTGTCAGTGGTACTGATGCCCAGGCGGTGGATGGCAGCCACCTTCTCCGTGGGCAGGCCTGGCTGGAAGAAGCTGGTATACTGCCTCTTGAGCACGCCCAGCGACACAGTCACGATCACGTGGTCTGCAGGGATTACCTCACAGTCCTCGCACTCCACCACCACGGGCCACTGCTCATCCTCATCCCACCCATCCCCCTGGGAACCCTCTCCACTCTGGCGGCCCTCCCCAGTGCAGTGATTGTGGTCACCCTTAACACGAGGCTCAATCTCAGGGCCCCGGGGATGGGCTGAGGCCTGGTCCCAGTGAATGCAGCGGACAGGTTTTCCCAGCTGAATGACGTGGGCGGGGATGCCGTCAGCTAGCAGCTCCACCACCCGCATGAAGCCTGAGGGGATGATGTGATGAGCACCAGGGATCTCGGTCCACTCCCCAAAGGCACTCAGGGACACCTCATCCATGCTGTGTGAGCTGCTCTCACAGCTCTCCACCTGTGGGAGGACCCAGAGAGAAGCCAGGTGACACGTGGGCCAAGCCCGGCAAGGAACAAGAGCTCTGAGGAGCACAGCCCTCCTCAGACCCAGACTCCCCCAGAATCAGTCTTCTTCACTCTGGCACCTGTCCTCAACAGCAAAGATACCTTCAGGTACTGCTGGATCATGGCGAGCTTCAGGCGCTTGGTGGCCTCTGTGTCGTCAGGGTCATCCCTGATTCGGTTGCGCACCTCCTCCCGGGTGAACACCCCGACGCTGTTCTGACTCTCAGCATTGACTGGTTTACCATGCCGGAAGAACTCCTGGGTCAAGTTATAGACCTGCCAGAGAGACCTCAGGAGACTGAAATCACACTCCCTTGTCCCACACCTCCACCTCACAAAGAAGGGACCCAACTCAAAAGTCACCAGCTCCCAGGTATCCCTTAGATGTTCCGAGCCCTTATATGAGGCTGAGCAGGCTGTGGAGTGGCACCCTTTCTGGGCAAGCAGCTTATAGCCTCAGGCCTGTGAGGGAGGTGGGATGGGCCAGGCTTTCTTGCTGGACCCTCCCCTAGAACAAACAGATGCTTGGTGTTTAAATAGTCTAGAGCAAGAACCTGCCCCGCATGGGCTTGTACAGGTCTATAAGGGCCCATGGAGAAGACAGATCAGCCCACATTCACCTTTTCCAAGAACCAAATGTACAATCCTTTCCCTGCCTCCTACTCTGCTGTCTCCCAAGACCTGGTCAGTGTTTGAGGGGAGAAGGAACAGAGAGGAGCCCTGAGATCTGATCACTCAAACACCTTCGCCCACTCTGCTCAGGTCCATACAAAGCACCCCTTCATTTTAGTTTCAGATGCAAAGGATGAGAGGACCATCTCAAAGAGTCCCCAGCCAGGGAATGGAAATCATTTTATAGGCATATTTCAGCCAGAACTCCAAACCATTCCCCATCTACAGATAGTGACAACTGGTCACTTTGTACAGGGTTCTTTTGCCTCCCTTGCCTGCCTGGTATGTAACCCCACCAAATACTGGGAAGGTGTCCCTTTCCTGAGTCAGGCCCCAACACACATTCATTGAGCTCCATCCTACACACTGCTTGTAAAAGTGAGCAAGAAAGATAAGACTCCTTAGCCCTTGCCCATACTCAGGTAGGGAGACATTCCATGACAGCTGTTCTCACAGGCTGTGCAGTGGTAGGAGAAGGATCCAGGGCTGTAAGACCAACCCAGGCAACCCTGGATAGCCAGGTTGGCAGTGAGAGGGAGAAGAAAAGTGTTTCAGGCAGAGGGAACAACATAGTGAAAGACAGATTAATAGACAGAAGATACATACATACATACATACATAGATGCAGAAACATTCAGGAAACTTAAAGTGGGTCAGCCTTGCTGAAAGAGGCAAAAGGAGAAAGAAAGTTGTAAGAAATGACCTTGAAAAGGCAGGCAGGAGCCAGGGGCAAAAAGGACTTAGAGCTGTGTCAAGGACTCTGGGACTTCATCCAAGACCCTGACATCCCTGAAGGGTTGTTAGCAGGAAGATAGCATGATCCTCCACTGCTGCTCTCATCCCCTAACACTGGCAAATGTAGGTTCCTTCGCCAAGTGGTGTGTCTCCCTTCCTAATATGAGTTTGATGTGGTCAGCACATATTCACAGGAATGATGCTCGCCCTACACCGCAGCCCCAGGACAGGCGCTGGGGCCACAGGGTGAAAGAAAGTGGCGAAGTCTACAGATGTTACTCTCCTCACCCCACCATTCCACTCAAGAAAAAGACCTCCACATGAGACAAAAATATGAATTAAACATGCCTCTGCAGTATAAATTACACAGAAGAAAATGAGTTAAATTGTTCGTTCGTCTTCCCTCCCTACAGTCACAAGATGTTGGGTGTTTGGCCTTAATTGGAGTCCTCAGCAAATTCCTCCCGCAGGACCACTGCCAAGGAGTCAGGCTCTCCACTTGCCTCCTCCTTCCTGGTTTTTTTTCCGAGTGATAAGCACCATGGTAGCCAGTTCTTAACCCATGTTGACTGGAGGCCAAAACCCCCAGCTGAGGAGTAACAAATGTAGCTATCACTAACTAGGACAGCCTTAACTGAATATGGGTTTGTCATGTGGCTACAGTCTCCTCCACTATGTAAAATGACACCTTCCTGATGTGACCGAAGGAAAATGGGACAGATCTGTTACAGCTAGTACTGCCCCAATTCTTCTTAAGCACTTGCATTGGGATCTCAATCCTCATGACACTGGGAAGTAGATGTGAACAAGTCCATTTTACAGATGAGGGAAGTAAGAGAGGCTCAATAAACTTGCTCAAGATTATACACTAATAAATGTTAGAACTGGTATTCAGTTCCTCCTCCAGAGATTAAGCTTTACATGATACTACTGTACAAATTCATTTATTTCTTTTAAAATGTAACACATTCTGGGCTGAGGATGTAGCACTCAGTAGTAGAGCACTTGCGTAGCATGGGCAAAGCCCTGGGTTCAATCTCCAGCACTATATATTTTATACAATATATTGTTTATATATAAAAATAGGTATATAAAATACATTCATGAATGGACCTTCAAAGTCACCATTTTTGGAAGCCACCCTCGGTCAGGGCTTCACATGGCTCTTCAGAATAGCCTCCAATATTGGATAAGATACACACAGAGAAATCCTCACCTCACGGTTACACCTCCTCCTTCAAACCAAAAGCATTATCATCCAGACTGATACTCCACCTCATTCATCCTACTTTCCACAACTTACACTCTTGGCTTTCAAAAATCAAACCCAGCAAAAGTTGGTAATGATCTACATTTAAGGCACTTAAAGAACAAGTCATGGTCCCTGAGAGTCATTCTCAAGAAGTATCCATGCTTGAAACACTCTCAGTGGCCTGGGAATCAAGGTGCAGGCCAGGAGGGTCTACTTTGAAGAATATTAGTTCTTATCTGTTCACTAATAATTCCACCTCTTTGCACACAAGTGAAAACACGCAATATCATGGAACTGCAACAACATATCTTGTGAGGACACCACCACACAAAATACTGAGTATGCCTGTCTTCCATAGCACAGGGACCAATCCAAAGCAAGAGATTAGAAAACACATAATAAGTACTTGCTAGCCTGTTTATGTCCTAGAGCAAAGGGTTATTATACTACAAATGACAAGCTATCAGAAAACAAGTTCTACACATTAGCTTGCTTATTCAGTGCAGTTCACAGCACCACTGAAAGATACTAAAAATATTAATTTTTCAAAAAACCTGGACAATTCAAGGATATATGATATTGCTACTTCTATCTAACACTGGACTGAGATACTAGCCAGTGCAATAAGGTAAGAAAAATAAATAGTCTGAAGCTATGCTTCCAATACAGTAATTGCTAGACATTTATAGCAATTTAAAATTAAATATTTAGTGCCTCAGTTTTACCACATACATTGCAAGTGTTCAAAGCTCCAAGTGGCACATAACTGCCATACTGGATGGTGCAGGTCTAAAATATCTTAATCACTACAAAACGTTCTATTGAGCCAGGCACCAGTGGCTCACACCTATAATGTTAGCTACTCAGGAAGCAGAGATCGGAGGATCAAGGTTTGAAGCCAGATGGGCAAATAGTTCTGTGAGACCTTATCTCGAAAAAACCCTTCACAAAAAAGAGCTGGTGGAGTGGCTCAAGGTGTAGGCCCTGAGTTCAAGCTCTAGTACTGGGGGGAAAAAAAAGTTCTATTGAACAATGCTGGTCTTAGGATTAGAAAGGAAAAAGACAAAATGCTCACTGTTTTTCTACAGAGCTATATACATAAAATTCCAAAAAATATTATTAGAATACAAATTAATATATTAATACATTTATTAGAATTAAAATAATTTCTCAAGGGAGTTAAAATCAACATATAAAAATTAGTTCTATTGCTATACACCAGGAAAAAATAAAAAATTAAGTTTTAAAAAAATTATCATTTATAAGCGCATTCAAAAAAACAGAGCAAAAACAATTGCCACCACTCAAGTACCTAGCGATGACCCTAATGAAAGATGTTCAAGACCTTTTCAGAGAAATATTTAATTATACATATCAATAACTGTCTTGCACAGCACCTCTCTACGCATTTTCATTTTATTCTCAAACTGTCCTGTGTCTCCAAATGCAGGGCACAGAGAGTGTGCAAAGACAAGATCAGAATCCCAGAAGACCCCCAGCAGATCTCCCGACTTCACCCATGCCCAGACACCTGCCCACCCCTCACCTCGTTGTATAAATCGCTGAATTCCTCAACCACGTCCTTGGGGATCCTGCGGCCGTGGTTGGTAAGATAGCAGGCCACGCCATTCTTGGAATAGAGGCTGATGCGGCCCACGCTGCGCTCCCCATCGGTTGTCTCTTCCAAGAGGCCACTGGCTTCTGCTAGATGATAGATAGGATTCCCGTGGGAGCCATGGATCCAGGTGGCTCCCAGCTCAAAGGTGGCGTGTCCTGATGGTGACAACAACAGGCCCTTAGAGGGGCAGGGACTTCCTCAGAGAGGGCCAGAACACTGTTTCCCCTCCTTCCTCCAGGAGGATTCTTTCACACATCCCCAACAGGCAAAGAAAGAGGTCTCCTCTGGAAACCAACTAAAATCATCAGGAAACAGTTCCCCGAAAGTCATTTGCTCTAAGACAGTGACTGAGATGTGCCCCAGAGTTGCCTCACTGGATCAGTGAGAAGGCTGTCTTGTTTCCAGTCTCCTTTTCCCAAAGTAACACTAGATACCAGTCCTCCTTCCTCTGCCTCCCCACTTGGGAGAATACTGTGGCATCTGAGGTATAGCAGTCACAGTGAAGCATCAAGGTCTTCATCTGGCCTTAGTTCAACTCCTCAACACCCCCATGGTCCCAGAGTCTAAGCCCTTCTCTCAGTTAGAAAATGGTCCCTCCCAACACTACCTAAAGCACGAGGAAGATTCCACCCCAGAGCAATCTAAAACAAATTCCTAGGGAATATTAAGCCTTCCAATCCTTTCACACAGAGGGCAGAGCCCTAACTCTATCTGGGGCGGTGGGTCATTCTTGGGTCCAAGCTGGGATAGGCCTGGAAACTGGTTCTACTTCCCATCCCTAGCCAAGGTACCAGATCTCTAAAGCAAGCTGCCTCTGTCCTGAGCCTGTTTCCTCTTCTGATGCTGTAAACACTGGGACACATGCCTTTCCTTGCCTACCTAATTCCCAGAGAGGTTGAAACAATGCAAGGAGAACAGAGGAAAACTTTTTTTTTTTTTTTGGTGTTTTGTTTTGTTGCAGGCCTAGTTCAAGAAACGTGTCCCTGTACACACACCCTTGGCAACATGACTTTACCATTCCTCCCAAAAAGGTGGGGTCTGTTTCCCCACCCCTTGAATATCTGTCAGACTTACTTGTGAATTGCTTTAATTAATAGAATGTGGTGAAAGTGACATTTGTGACTTCAGATACAAGGGATCCGGGAGTCTCATGGCTTTCACTTTCACTCTCTAAATGTGACAACCATGGAAAGAAGCCCATGCTCATCCTGCTGAAGACACATGTTCCAGCCCAATGCCTATGTTCACACCAGACATGAGGGTAAAGCCATCTCAGATACTGTAACCAATTCTAGTTACACCTCAGACAACTGTCTCATACGGAAGATCCAAAGCAAGGCCAGCAAAAGACCCAACTACCTGAATCCTACCACACTCTGACCCCCAGAACTTGAGCAAATAAAAAGCTATTTTTAAGCCACTGCATTTGGGGTAGCTTGTTATGCAGCAATAGCTATCCAACATGTTCTAACAAACAGCAGTATTATTCTTCACCCCAAGGACTGGTCATGCACTTCTCTTTTTCATGCCTTTCCTTTCCTGGGCTGCTTCTAATTAAACTGCCAGTTACTAAAAATAGTCCTAAAATATTTATGTGCCAAAAACAAGAGAAAATACTACCTCCTGTCACAGCCAGCAAGATGGAATTCTGTGGTATCTCTGAAAGAGGAAGGAATGCATAGACCCCTTTGTTCAGGAAAAGTGGGCAGACTGAAGGGCATCAAAAGCTGAAAGCCCGATGCCCTGCTTGCAGGAGATGCCTAGTAGCCCCTGAGGGCATTAAATTATCAACCTTCCTCTACAACCTCAGGCTTGGGGCTCCCCAAAGTGTCTGGTCTGCTTTGAGCTGCCAATAGGAGCAAAAGGGAACAAGCACTCTGAGGAGGGAAGTGAACACCTCCCAGGGCAAAAAAAAGGAGCTCTAATTCACAAAACTGGGCAGCCCTGACTTAACACCTTTCATGCCTCCAAATGCTCATCAAAAACAGGTGGAAGTGAACAATTCAAGGTCAGAGAGCAAGGTCAGTGCCCCGCCTCTATTCCCAGGCTTTGCCAGGAGGTGGGAGGCCCAGAGCAAGGCCCATCTGGGAATGTTTCCTGCCCTCTCCCACATGCCCGTCCATCCCTGTCATTCTTGCTATATCCCTACATTTAAAGGCCACCAGGCACCATCTTCATGCAGCCTGCACAGACACTCAAGTGTCCTCTGAACTTCTGGCCCTAGACCTCTGCTCTCACCATCAACAGGTCACAACTACTGTTTCATGCCATAGCACATCTCAGCTGTCAGTTACCCCTGTGAATGGGTCATTTGTCCTCCCATGTTCTGAAGGTATCATCAAGACTGGCAAATCATAAATGGAACTGCTCTTCCCTGAGGCTCCCAGCCAGCCAGTCAGGTGTTAGCAAAGAGTCCTGGAGTTCTATGGACTGTCACAGGTTTACAAGTATTTTGGATAGCAGTTTCATCCCCACTGCCAGAAGACACTCCAGTGTGTGCCAGGGAAAGAGGGACAAATCTTCATATATACCTTCCAGGCACAGCCCTAGGGAAAGACTTTTTTTTTAGTGGTACTTGGGTTTGAACACAGGGCTTCAAACATGCAGGTGCTCTACCACCTGAGTCACGCTGGCAGACTGAGGAAGACTCTTATTGTGATCAATATGTCTGCAAGAAAAGAGAAGGTCTCCTGTGTGTCCTCGAAGTCTGCTGGTTCTCAGCCTGACCACCTATTTCTCTGAACAAGTGAGAACACAAAATTCTCTGGAGGATCCATGTCACTCACCTACTCCAGGCCACCATGTGTGGTCTCACTGGCTCATCTTCATGTTCCTAACTCTCTCAAAAAGTGGGCCAGAGCCCCACTGGCTGGGAAGCCAGGACATTTCCTTCCACTGCATTTCAGGCAGTATCCCTACTTCCTAGGACCCTTGGCACAATCTACCCAACCCAGGGGCAAGTCTCTTACCTGGATGCTTTCTCCGGGATCTCATTATCTGTAACTTGGACAGATCTTTGTAGACAATCCCAAGACCACACATCCACCACAAGAAGGCCTGAAATCCCCTCCCACCTATGCTAACCTAAGCTCCTACTGTCCTAGGCCTGGCTCTCTCAGTCATGATGCTAATTCATACTCAAAAGTTAATAATTAATAGGAACTTATGAGACTCCCCTTTTGTGACACAGAAACTGGCCCACACACTTGGCTCTAGATGACTCCTCCCTCTTAAACACTGTGAACCCTAGGTCCTGCACCAAACCAGCATTCTCTAAAAATGCCTACCCCAAAGGGCTGCTGTAAGGAAGCTTCTGGAAAATGTCCAGACAGATTGCATGATGGAATGTTTGTCCCTGGGAAGGAACTTAAATAATGAGATTCCAGGCAGCCCAAAGGATTAGGAGATAAAAGGTATCCTAGAAGAGTGGCAGGCTGGGGTAGCACTTACCAAGTTTCACGCTCTGTACGCGGCCTCCGATGTGGCTGGAAGCCTCGAGTACAGTGACATCCGTGAAGCCCTGCTCCAGAAGCGCTTTGGCCGCAGCCAGGCCAGCCAAGCCAGCACCGATTACCACCACACGAGGCTGTCCCCTTTTCCGCAGGCCACGACTGAAAGGGTCATCCGCACTGTCCACACTGGATTCACAACTTTGCATACCGTCCGCACTCACCTCCTAGGAACCTGCAGGGGAAAGGGTATTACCGTTCACCATCCCCAAGGGACACCCACTGCAAGTCCCTCCCTCCCTGAGGACCCAAACAAGAAGAGCCACCGCCAAAAGATGCAGGAAAGGAGGCAAGAAGGGGCAAGGGGAGGTGGGAGGAAGGGAGGGCGAAAAAGGAAGGAAGGGATGCATTTTGGAGGCAAGAGATGGAGTCCATCTTGAGCCCCTGAAACCCACCAATCTCACCTCCAAATCTGTTAGGCATTGTCTCTTCCCTGCCCACAAGTCCCAAAATGGAGACAAGAGATGGCCAGTGAGGAGATGCCCAATAAAGTCAAAGTCTGATGTTGATCCTACCTTAGCTCAACCCAGTACTGCTGCTGAAGTCCAGTTTGTGCCAACCCCAGGAGGCTCACCCAGACCCCAGGATACTCACACATACCTAAGGACACTTGCACAGACTCCAAGACGCTCCTCACACAGGCCCCAGGATGTTCACACCAACCCCAACATACCCATACACCCAACACTGGATTCTGCTCTCCCTCCCTGTCCGGCTTGTCCCTGGCACTCTCTCTGTCCCTTGCCCCTTCTCTTCTTCTCTGGCTTTTGGTTGGTCTTTCACAACCTCAACGAGGTAGCAATTTGGGGGAAGAACAAAGTCCCACCCTCACCTCCCGCCCCCAGAAAGTGCCACGAGGCTGGTGTCCGACAAGCCTCTGCTATTCCGGGTAGCTTGTTTTCCCCAGTCACCCAGCCCCTCAGTCACCACAAAGCAGCAAGAAGCCCAGGAAAACGGTGGACCATGAGGACCTGTGGCACCAGAGGCCAGACATGAAATTGACAGTTACACTATGCCAGCTTGCTCAGAGACGCCAGACTAGGGGAGCTTGTGCGGGAAGCCAAGGGGGTGCCTGAATCTGGCCCCAGGGCTAGAAGACACTGCCTCCATATTCCCAGAATGTTACAGAGAATTTGGAGGTGTCTGGGGAATCACCCTGTTTGAGTAGCAGAAGCTGCAAAATCTAATAGCACCTAGGACCTAGCAGAGCAAATACAGGTGGACAGAAGCTGCTGGACAACATCTAGGGAGCAAGTAAAAATCTGTCACCCAGGCCTAAGGGCTCAGCATGACTCTTCCCAGGACACAGCAATCCATTCCTAAGAATATGCCCAAAGAAGCAAGGTACATTCTACCAGATAGACATGTTATAGAATGCTCACAGCAGTTTTATTCATAATAACCAAAAAAACCCAGAACAACCCAAAGGTCCACCAACAGAAAAAGGTAAACACATTGTGTTATGCGTACCATATTCAGACAATGGAATGATCTTCGGCAATAAGCAGAACTAAACTCCAACAACACAGATGCACCTCAAAGACATGGCATTGAGCAAAAGAGGCCAGAGACAAAAGACCACATACAGTATGACTTCATACAACGTTCAGCAACAGGAACATGGAATCAGTGAAGACACACGACAGAAGAGAGGTTATAAGGGAGGGGGGGAGGCTGAGAAAGGTCAGCAGGGAGCTTTCTGCAGAGGAGGGAATATATATATATATATATATATATATATCTTGATTTTAGTGGTGGCTATACAGAGTACATATATTGACTTGTACATTTAAGATTTGTGCAATTCACTGCAAGTTAAGTATGTCTACCTCAATAACAAGATATTCATTCCTGCCTTCCAATCCATCCGTGAATCCAAGGCTGGCCACATCCCCAGGTCTGACCACTGAGTTTCCATCCTACTTGAGACAGTGTTCTGTAACATCAGTTTATCACTGGTGTGGCAAAGAGGGCTCTTTATTAAACTATGCTCAGGCGGAAAAGCTGCTCCTCTCACACTGCCCAACCTATTGCACTTGCCTGGGCCACGTGATGCCTGCGCCTGGACAGAAATGCCCTGTCCCACCACCCTCTGGCCCTGATTACTCTAACTCGGGGTTGTGCCTATTCCCTAGAGGGCCGGTAGGTGGCGCCCAAGACCCAGAACCCCTCACAGGCCGTGTCCCAATCAGAAGAGGCTGTGCCCCAGTTTTCTCAGGGGATGAGGCCATGAGGGGGCTTCAGGCCCTTTCCTCCTACCTCCTTGCCTATCCTTGTCCCCTCCCCCTTGCCCCTCTGAGATGCTAGGTCTTCCCAGGAGCATGCGGGTCAGAACTGGCTAGAGTCCTCCCCCTCCTGCCCCTTCCCTCCCCTCCCCTCTTCTCTCGCCCAGGTTCTTCTTCCTGCCGACTAAATTTAGAGGTGAGGATGTGACCGCCTGCACGCACCCGTGGCGGGCGGGGAGGCAGGGTCAGCGCCGATGCCGCCGGATGTCTGGCAGCCGAGCGCGGACGGGACGCTGCGTCAGGTTGGTAAACACGCGGCGTGCTGCGGGATGGGGGGCGGGGGTGGGGGTGGGGGCGGGGGGGAGCGCCAGCTGCGATGACGCCACCGGCCCCTGGCACCCCGCGACCGAGTGGCGCCGCTGCCCCCACGCCCCAGCTCCCCAGGGCCCCTGCCTGCGCCCCTGCCCCAGGCCACCCCTAAACAACCAAGTCTTTTATACAAACGGGTGGGAGGATTGCAGTGTTCTCAAACCTTACTGGTGGAACCACATCTTGAAAAGCAGCTATGAGGTGCAGGGGATAATAGGGATTGAACTGGGGGACCTCACTTATCACAGAAACCACCAGCACACCAGGATTCCTGGGGCACCACCTCTGAAAACCAGGGATATAGATGAGCTCCAGCTTGGAAGGCGAGGACGGGGAAAAGTGGCTTGCTGCCAAGCTACCTGACCTGGGCACAGCTAGCATGGCCAGCTTGTCCTCACAACAGTGTGACAGTCAAATAAGGCTCTATGTAGCTGTTACAACATTGCCAGTATTTTTTAAAGGCCTAATGCAAGAAATGTCAGGTTCTGTAGCTGCATTATGAGCATACTGTCTTTGGGAAGAAGGTTCTTGGGAGGTGGTTCTTGAATGGACCATGGGAAATGCTGTGGGCACTCTGCTTTTTGGATAAATAAAGCAAGAACCCCCAGCTCCCAACACCAGGTCTCAGAGACCTTGAACTCAAACTGGGCATCACACATGGGGTGTCAGGTGGACGTGTCACAAGTAAGTGGGGGGGCACATGGGTCCTCTGCACCCCTGACTCATGTCCCAAACTTGCCCCATCAGCCTCCCCTCCCCACTCCAAGAAACCAAAGGAACGCCACACACAGCCCATGGAGGGCCAAGAAATGAGTCTGCCCTGGCACCCTTATCAGCCCACCAGAGTGGACACACCGGACACACCCATATGTCCAACTGAAAGGAAAAGAGAAGACATATCCAGGAACACCTGCCATGTGCCACAGGTTCAAGTGAGCACTCTGTTACTTCCAACAGAGGAGGAGAGAAGCAACTTGTTTCCTGTTAGTTTGTATCATCTGTTCCTTTTTTTTTTTTTTTTTTAATTTAGGAGAAACTGCCTTATTGAGGAAGAATAATTTAAATGGTCCTCAGTGCCTGCTTGTCCTTTTCTCGCCTTGGGGAAAGAAATAAATAAATAACATCCGCTCCTTGATCTGTATGCACAGGAGAAACAGGACACTCTGTACTTTTCTTGCAGATAAAAGAGAGAAGAAAAAGTGCTGGCTCTGCCAGGCAGAGAAGAGGAGGGGGGAGGCACAGGAGAATAGACATTTGCTTTCTTGCTCTGGCTTCCATGGCAAAATGGGGATGGGAGCCTGGTGCCTCCTGCTCAGCGCCTATGCCAGGGCTCCCATGTCCCCAAAGAGGCCAATCCCTAAAAATTCAAGAAATCAGGCCAGTCAGAGAATGAGTGTTCCCCACCTCACTCAAGATACTCCACTGCCTCCTACCACCGCTTCTCCAACCCACAGGCCGTGGCCTCCCCCTGCTGGCCAGGGCTAGTACCACTCCAACCAGGCCTGTCCAAGAAGCTGAACGGAAGGAGGAAGGCAGCAGAGGAAGATCTGAAACAAAGGAAGAATAGACCTGTCTTATGACAGTATGGCCAAATATGGACGGATAAAGACTAGGAGGCCACTCTGGAGGCAGAGGCAGGAAGATCGTGAATTTGAGACCAGCCTGGGCTACATAGTGAGACCTTGTCTCAAAAATAAATAAAGTAGGGGACCAGGTGAAACCAGGATGAGCATAACAGCCAAGCCTGGTGTTAACTGTCACTTCCTCACCCACCCTACCCCAACATCCGGAGAGTCAGCCTCACAACAAGTACCTCCTAATGACAAAATACTAAAGACATGTTTTAGTCCTGGTCTCCAACACCTGACCCTGCTGAGCCCCTCCTGGAAATGCAGAGAACTGAACTGGGACACCACAATATCTCCTTGCACTTACCCCCATCAAATGAAGGAGCACAAGCAGCACCGAGGCTCAGAGCTGGAGGCATCCCTCCTTATCCATTGGGTCAGGTCATGCCATCTCTATATCCTGAATCACTGTCACCTCTTCCCCAAACTTCCCTTGAGACCCTCCAGTCTCTCTCTGAATCTCGCCTCTGCCTAATCTCAATGTCTCAGCCTATCCTCCAAAAGACAAGTACAGCCAGGCTTCTCAACATATGACCAGAGAATGCAATTTAGCAGTTCATTGAGCATCTACAATGTGCCAGGCATGGGGAAGGCCTGAGCAGTTCAGCCCTTTACCCTCTCGACCCAGCCGGCCTTTCTGTCACAAGACAACACACACACACACACACACACACACACACACACACACACACACACAGTACATATACACCCCTAACTCCATGCAAGTATTAAACCTCTTCAGCCCAGCCCACCTAAAGGCCTGTGGAAAACACCCTCCCTCCCACTGCTGGGTTCTGTGTCTTGTTAGGGGTGTTGTGATTGTGCATTTGTGTGACTTGAAGGCTGTGTTGCTAGAACCAGGCTGCTCCATAACTATTTCCCAAAGCAGCAGTTACCTTGAACTATAAGTCCCTCATACTGGCTATGCATTGCAGCACCCCCAGGTTGACCCCCAGAACACAAGCATCTCACCCAGGAAATCCTGCTGCCTGCTGTCTCAGGAATGAGGCTATGGCCCCTCAGTCACAGAGCAGGGCCAGGTTCCCTGTTGGACTGGTGACCCTCTCCCTAGGTGAGCATAGCATGCACTGTGAGTCACCAGCAGGAAGGTCAACAGCCCAGCTGGGTGTGGGTGCCCTATCCTCCTTCCTTCTTAACACCATGCTGGCCTCAGCCTCACTCAATCATCAGCAGGTCACTTTGCTCCCCAACTGGAGCTGCCGTGACAAAAATGATGCCACCAGGGGCCCACCTCCCCTTAAACATACACAAAATTCTATCCATCCTGGACCCTCTGAACACAGGTCTCTCACTCCCAAGGGTGCGCGCAGCCCTGTCCTTTTCTCTAAGTCACCTCAGGATGAACTCCTCATCCATTTCCCAGAGAAGAATAAGGCCCTAAGGAAATGAGTCCCTCTGATCACCTCACTCCCTTGCAGTCCTGGACCACACCAGCTGGGCACTCCAAAACAGGCCACCCCTGCCAGCCAGCAGTGTCCTCTCTTCTAAGCCCTGTGTTTGCTCATGGGAGACCTGTCCAGGACCAAGGGTGCCCTTGTCAGTGGGAGACACATCACCTGCGCCTTCCCCAATCAACCTTAGGGACTGTCAGCCTCTCTTCTTCTCCCAACCAACAGACCCTTGCCCCAGAGCAGCAGCCCCACCTCACCTCCCCTAGAGGGATCCCACTCTCTCAGGCTTCTGACAGGAGGGGAGGGAGAGGAAGGAAAGCTGTGGGACTGGTCCAGGGGAACATCTTTGGACGGCCTAGCAGGTCTGTGGAGGGATTTGGATTCTTGAGGCCCCCCAGACAATGCAATTATTCTTCCAATGTAAAAAACACCCAGAAATCTCAGACTAGCTGCTCTGCCAGCAGTGCAGACAAAGGGGCTCTGTGTCTGCACCAAGGCTCCACCCACCCTCCACCCCAGGGCGGGGCCAGCCCCACTACCTCCCAGCCAGACCCTCTCCAGCCTCTCACCCAGGCCAGCAGTAAGTAAAAGGAGTGGGATTGCAGAGCCAGGCAAGGTCAGTCCTGGTGGGGTGGTAGGAGTGTAAATTTGAGGACAGAGTAGGGCAGCCTGTGAGCCCAGGAGATGGAGGGGGAAAGAGAGAACACAGGCCCCAGCTCAGTCTCTTGCTTGCTGGGTAAGCCCTAGACCTGTGCTCTTTTCTGGGCCCCATTTAGCAGTACCTCTGAACTCACCCCAAGGACACAGCATCTGTCCCCATCCCCCCCCAGGGCTCACTTGTCTGACACCTGAAGCTTTCTTTAGTCTTCAAGCTTCCCTGTCTATAAAATAGATAGATAGCGGTCTCTGGGACTGCTGGGAAAATTACATGAGACAGCATAGGTAAAAGATGCAGCCACCTATACAGAGGAAGAGGGCCCAGAGCTCCATTTCGTGTAGCAGAACCCCAATCTTGATCCTAACTCAGAACCCAGACTCAGCCTTAGCCCCAATCCTGGACCTTGACCTTGACATCAATCAGATATCCACAACCTGTGTTAGACTGACTTCCAACATAATACTGAGTCTGAGCCCCCCAACCCTCGCTCAGCCTTACCATCCTACCCAGCATTGAGGGAGGGGAGGCATCAGATATGGTGGCCCTTTACCCACTCCAAGTTCATGAAAGGAAAATGGTGTAGGTGCCCTGTTCCATACACTACTGCCACAAACAGTGTCCTCTGGTCCTCACAGGCCAAGAACAGGAAGAGGTCCTACATTCCTGCCTGGCACTGGACTTCTCTCCAACACAATACCTTTGTTACCCACAACTCTTATCAAAAAGTATAAAGCCCCTAAAAGCCCAACTTTAAAATGTTGTATAACCCTATTTCAAAAGACAAGAGGAACCTGTGCTACATGGACAGAGGCACCCCTTGAGTCAGTGTTGGGGCACAGAAGCAAATGTACTACCATCCCCTTTGGCAAGAGGGGAAGGCAGCCTGGAAGAGGGGGACACCCTAGGACAGTCTGTTTCCCTCAGTGTTCTGCAAGGGTGATAGGCCTATAGAAAACCCAGATTATTTATTCCAGAATCCTCACGCCAGGCATAAGGCATGAGGCAATTTTATAGCTCTGTGCAAGGACAGGCCCAGGAGACTACCCACTAGAAGCCTAGTTGGAGGATAGAGGAGCAGGAAAAAAGCATAGAAAGAAACCAGAGAAAGGACAGTGTCTTCCAGAAGGACATAAAACTCAGCTGGGATCTTGATGACTGAGTCAACACATGAGAGAGAAACAGAGATGGACCAGAACAGAGCCTAGGACTACGACCCCCTCCCCCACCCCATGTCTGACCTCAGCAACTTTTACCCCACACCCACCCTGTAGATCCCACCTTCAGCAAAATTTAGATAATAATTCAGACATACTTCAGATCAGGTCAGTTACCGTTGTTTCTGGACACCTTCTGGCCAGTTAGCCAGCTTGGGTTCCATCTCCAGCCCAAGGCTGCTCATACCACATGCCCTGGTTTCCCATCTGCAAGTGTCTGTGTGCAGATATTATGGCTAGCTAGGAAGTCCCCTCTCCACAAGTAGAACCCACCTCTGTCCCCTCAGTTACCAGATCTTCCAAAAGCAGGCAAGCCCCCTCCCCTTTCAGCCATCAGGGGTCCTACAGGGTTACTATGTCACTCCTGGGTAGTCCTGGAGAAGATGAAATTACCCAGACAACAGCCCGCCACTGACCACCAGTGTGTTCTTTGGAGAGGCCATTAGCAGTTGAGGATCTTTTCCACATCTATAAGATGGGGACAATGATCCCTACCTATGAAAGAACAGCACTGACCCTAGAACTTATTCACCAGCTACCTGTCCCCACCAAAGTCCACGGCAGCTCCCCTAAGCAGCTCTCAGGATGGGACGCTAAGGCCTGGATTTCCTCCCTATAAGCAGAACCGGACAGCTCAACTCTGAATCTCCCTCCAGGAAGACATCAACCACAAGTTGAGAGAGACCACAGAGTTGGCCACTGCCCTGCTGGCTACATTGGTCAGGACTGCCCTTGCCAACAACAGACCAGGCCACAGGCAGGGGACAGACAATAGAAGACATCTATTGTTCAAAGCTGCTCAATGCCCTAGAAAGAAGGTCTAACAGGGCAGAGAAAAAAGATACCAGTTCTGTTCTGAAGCATCCAAATCACCACAGTCCCCAGGGAACCTCAGGAAGAGACAGATGTCTCTCTCACACACACAATCACAATAGCACACTTCTTATATTTCACTTGATGACCTGACTGAATAAATTGTTCCTCTTGGTAGGAATACCTTATAGCACCATGTTTTTCATGTATTTTCTGGGGTCAGATCAACAGCTTTGAATACCAGCAATTTGAATCTCCACCACTTATTAGATGAGTCTCAGTTTCCTCATCAGCAAAATGGGTTGAGTGTGGCAATGCATGCAGAATGCCTAGCTCAGAGCCAGGCATGTAGCAGCAATATTTCTTGTATTTTCCCACAGGCCCCCATCTGCACACTAGTGGGAGTTACCACAGGGAACACTGGACCCTGTGCCCAATGTGGAAAGAGATAGAAGTCCATCCAGACAAAGACTCTCCTGCCTGGTGACTCCAGAGCAGAACCATCAGGCCTCTGATGACCACCCCACACCACAGACACTGCTGAGGTCTGATGGCAAGGGAGAAACAGGGCATTAGGAAAGAGGTCAGCCCTGTGTCCTACTTGCTGAAAGTGCTGGGACCTGCCAGGCAAGGGTTTGGAGCATAACCTCAAATCCTGTATGGTCACCAGTTTGCAAGGAGACATTCAATGATGGTTACTTCCTAGCTTTAGTGTAGTCCCTCTCCCAAGCTGACCTACATAGCTAGGAGGAAACTGCAGAAATGATGGCCTATGACTGAGACTCAGTTATAAAAGACACTGTGGCTTCTACCTTACTGTGGGGGAAGCCAGTCACCCTGTCATGAGGATGCTCAAGCAACTTCATGGAGAAGCCCATGTGGCAAAGAACTGAGCTCTCCTACCAACAGCCAAACCATCCTGCAAGTAAGAGTGAACCCCCATGGAAGCAGACCCTCCAGCCCCTAAGCCTCAGGATGAACACAGCTTCATGGGGAACCCTGAGCCAGAACCTCTCAGCCAACTTG